CGTCCGAAGGCGAGATCAATAAATGATAGAACTCATAAAATAAGTTTTGCTAAGTTGCAAATCATGGCATAGCATGGGTGATTATATACGTAAATGGTGGCGAGAAGCGAAATGAAATTCTAAACTTTTCTAAGCTTCTGCGGTGAGTCAAGAAGAGCAGGAGCACGTGATCAGTGTCCGGCATTTAGATTGGTTCGAGGAGTCAGAGTTCGAAAAATGAAGTTTTTTTTTTTGTAGTTTTTTTTGGCAATAAATAAAGTTCGAACATAGTAAAAGCAACATCTATTTGTGAATTTAAGAGTCTTATGTCTTTTGAAACACTTGAAAATCTTCTAAACTTGCGATATAATCATTAAATGAATAGGAAAACTGTAAAAGGGTGAAAATGAGGTCATGTAGCTCACTAGGGCTAATGAGTGAGAGTAAGCACTTGGTGTTACCACGAACTTTGATTTTAAAACACACGATACGAAATATTAAAAATAAAAAGTAAACATCTTGGTTAAATAAGTAGTAAAACGAAGAATTCATCGATGAAAAATAAAGTCCTAATTTTGCAAAGTTCATCTTTCTTGAATAGTAACTGCAAAGGAATAGTAAATTTTTATATATATATATACATTATATACACTACCACCACTTAGAATTGTGGTGGATCGTTCGAGGTCTTTTCACTACGTTCTCAATAGTAGGGTCATAGTCTGTAAGCGATTTAATAGCTTCATAGGGAGAATTTCTCATATCTTCAAAGAAGTTGTGTGCAGAAATTAGGATTTGGTCGTGAATTGGATTGATATCCAGGTCTTTGTGAATTTGAGAATTTCGCACGAACCAGGGTGCGTTCACTATGCTACGTAAGATTTTGTTTTTTGGAGTACATTTAATTTTTGTCTGTCTATTTTTTTCGGGCAGTAGCCCAGGCTGGAACTGCATAGAGGATTATTGGTCGAATAAGTGAGATGTAGATATTTTTCTTGGTACGGAGGCTTAACTTAGAGTTTCTTCAATTAATGAGTAGAGAGCAATGAAAGCAGCGTTAGCCTTATTTGTAACATATTGAATATGATCTTTGAAATTTAGGGTTTTGTCAATATAGACACCTAAATATTTATAGGAGTTGGCAACAGGAATATCTTGGTTATTGAGTCGGATATTTTATATTCACTGGGATATTTTTTCTGTATCTGCGAAAGAGAACTACGCAGCATTTATCAGTATTTAGTTTGATTTTACAGTCTTGACAAAATTTGTTAATAATGTTGACTTGGAGCTGAAGTTTTCTCTAAAGCATTATTTGACTTCGTGAACTGGTGAGGATGACTGTGTCGTCGGCATATTTGAGTATATTATTAGAATGAAAAGGTAGAGGCATATCATTTATGAAATATGTAAAAAAAAGCTTCGGTCCTAAAAACACTGCCTTGAGAGCTACTCCACTGTAAATCACTTTTTTTGAAGAGATTGCTTCACCACAGCGCACTTGAAAAGTACGATGTTTTAAAATAAGAATGCATAAGCTTAATAAAGCTGTTTGGTAAAAGGAAGTTAGATAGCTTATGAAGTAAGCCAGCATGCCACACTCGATCGAAAGCTTTTTCGAAATCGAGGAAGCATGCCTTACTCCGTTCTTTTTTTTTTGTAAATTCTTGGGCAATAAATTCAACTAAATTTAATATTTTGATGTGTGGTATTGTGGCCTTTTGCGGAATCCAAATTGATGCTTGTCTATTAGATTAAGGCGTTCTAGATGATTGGTGAGCCGAGCACTAAGTACTCGTTCGAAAACTTTTCCAACCGCTGGCAGAAGACTGATGGGGGTCTGTAATTATTTGCTAGCTTTGGATCTTTTCCTGGTTTCGGGATCGTAACAATGATCGAATGTTTCCACTGCGATGGAAAGTAGCTGAGTCTAATACAAGCATTTAAAAATATTTGTAATTAAGACTATGCATCTTCTAGGTAAAAGCTTGCAACGCTTCATTAGAAATCATGTCATATCCTTAGCTTTGCGCTTCTTTAATTTTGTAATAATTTGCTGAACTTCGTTCGGAGATGCAGGCGGATAAACAATTAATGCTGGGACTGCTTGAGGATGCTATTGACAGAGTAATTAATATCTTTTTAGTGATCAGAATTATAATTTTCATGTTGTTTAAAAATATTTTCTAATTCTTTTTCATGAATTTCAGCAATGGGGTCTTCGAAGTGGTGAAATTTTCCCACGTGATACAGGGGGTGAATTTGATTGGGTGAAACATTTCTGAGTGATTTAACTACTTTCCAAACAGAATTTGAGTAAAGATCCATGTTTTCTAGGAAATTATCCCATGAATTTGATCGGTGGGTGGCTATGTTTTCTTTTATTTTTCTGTTCAAATAATTAATATGACGTTTTTCAGTGGGATTGCGAGTAATATGCCATCTTTTCCTAAGTCTATTTCTTTCTTGTATAAGGGATTTAATTTCTTCTGGGATGTCCATAGGGATTTTTATTCTTGACTGTATAGGTAGCATTATTGATAGCGTTTTGAATTTTGGAGTTAAATCTGGTGATTTCCAGCTCAATATCGCAGTCATAACGAAGTATGGCTCTGCTGTTTACAGAATTTAGCTGTTCGGTAACCATATACCCAATTAACTTTTGTATGAGCTTTAGGGAGAGGGGGATAAAATCCATAGAAAGTTGAAGACTATAGGGAGATGGTCAGACGAAAGTTTTGGGTGAACATCAAGATTAGGAATATTAGGAAGGTTTTTCATCAAAACTATATCTAAAATATCCCCCCGAGTCCGTTGTGCGTATAGTGCGTTGGGTGATTGGGAGCAATGAGATTGATGTTACTATTGTGGATGAAGTTGCTTTAAATTTTCTCCGATTTCTATTTGTGACTCTACAGTTCCAAGAGAGAATTTTTAGCATTTAAATCACCTGCTATTAAGGTGGGGTAGTTATTTTCAGTAAGTAGTTTCAGAATTATTGAGATCAAGAGGTGCTGGAGGGGGGATTGTATACGGAGTGATAAAAAGAAAAGGTTCTTCTAAAACCACTATAGATAAGTACTGCAGCATTTTCTATAGTACAAGCAGGGATTTTAAAATCATATTTGGCTGTTTTGATATGGGTTTTTAATGAGAATTGCGTTTCCTCCCCCTCTATTATGTCTTCTGTTTTTTCTGTAGATGCGATAGCCTTGTATTTTAAATTTGTCGCAAGAGCGGAGATGGGTTTCATTTACTAGCATAACATCCAATGTTATGTATAGTAAGAAAAATTTGAAATTTCCACTTGTTGGTATCTGATGCCGTTTGCATTATAGTAACAAATCTTTAAGAAGCTATTTGTAGCTGAGATAAAATTTATTTGACTATGAGTTTGATTAAAATTCATAGTTTAGATTTGAGAAATATTCGAAGGCCGCCATACCGACCTCTAGTTTGTCTAATATTGTTTTTGCTGTTTTAAATTTCTGAAAGAATTCTTTAACTTGAGTGAATTGGATTTTTATCCAGTCAAAAAAGCTAAGTGGGTTTGAGTTTTGTGTCTTCTGTTTTACTAGTGTTTTTCATTTTCCTTGGAAGTATTCCATGCATTTTTTGGTTTGTTCTCAGGGAGTGAAGGAAAATCCTTTTTTTGTTAAATTTAAATTGTTTCTTTTTTTTTTCTTTTCTTCTTTGAAAGCTTTAGATTCTTCGATTTGCTTTCTGAACATTATAGGGATGTTTACTGCAACCTTTGAAGGAAGAAACGTGATTTTTTTTTGCCCACAGAGGGGCACAGACAGGGAGTTTGTTGTCATTTTTTGTTTGTTTACAAGTGAATGTTTCATGAGGCTCTGCACATTTAAAAAAAACAGCGAGGTTTATAGTGACATTTGTCCCGTGTGTGCCCGTACCTTTGGCACTTATGGCACTGCACGGGTCCAGGGCGAGCTTTAAAAAAGGCTCGATGAAGACATCCAGACCTCTGAGTTTCTTTAGATCATATATTCTTTTATCTTCTTTATTTCTAGTACATTCTGCTATAAAAACAGGAAGATGAACTTTCTTTCCTTCAATAGTGTGAATTACTTGTCGAATTTTTTGAATTGGGATACCTTCTTGGGCAATTTCGTTTTTGATTAGTTCCATATTAGCTGTTTTTGGAAGTTTTTTAATTATTGCCTTGATAGGCTTTTCACTATTGAGTTTATAAGTAAGGGTTGAGCCAGAGCGACGCGAGATACTTATAGCAGAAGTAGGCATGACGTCATCTCACGGCAACTAATCAGCTATCGGCACAAATCGGCTTTCCAGATGACGTAACATCACTTTCGTTTTTGCATCTCAATTAGGTTGAAACAGTCCGTTCTCAACGCAAACAGTGGCAGTAACGCTGCAATAGACAACCAATGTTAAATTTCTGCAAGTCGTCCCTACTCCTCCGGATGTGATAAAGGTGACAGCCGGTAACGCCTCAGACGAGGGAGAAAACCCGTTTGGGTCTATTTCTTATAAGGTCCATGGACAGGAAAGATTTACTCCGACAGCTGCAGAGTTATGTAACTCTTCGGATATTAGAAAAGAAACTTGTGTATTTTGTAACACAGCACATTTAAGTAGCCAGTGTAGGTATGCTGATAATTTGCCATATGAAGAGAAAAAGCAAATATTATTTTAAAAAGGGCGCATGTTTCAGATGTTTAGCAGTAAGAAAGCATATTTCTCGATTTTGTAAACCACCCTGTGAGATTTGCGGTAAGGGCCATTTTAAATTAATGTGTACCCGAAATTAATGTGTAATTTTCGGGATTACAATCCCGAAAATTCGAACCGATCGCTCCAGGTTGAGAAGGTAAGGACCAGGTAAGGACTCTGTTCTATCTAACAAAATAGCTACTCGTAAAGTTTTCTTGCAAACACATATTGTTCGTCTTGGGAATAAGAATAAAACGAAATACATAAGGGTACCAATTCACTCAGGCAGCAGTAAATCGTACTTGTCAAATTTCGTAATAACGGAAATGGGCTATGAATGTATTGGTGAAGAAATTTTAACACATAGTTTATTCGGCGATATAGAAAATACGGAAACACATAAAAAATATTTTATTCGTCTTAGTGACTTTTCGAATAATTATGGATGTAATTTTGAGGTGTTAAATCAATTCTCTCCTGACGAGATTCATGGACTTGTAGGGGCTGATGTCGCAGGTACACTGTACACCGTGAACATAAAACAGTTGGACTCAGGTCTAGTTTTGATGGAAACGCGGCTTGGATGCACACCAATGGGTAAGACTGATACGATCGAAACTTCAGATCGCACGAATAGCGTTATGTCAGTACATGTAAACGATGCAAAAATTTCAGACTTATGGCGACTCGATACACTTGTAATTTTGGACCCTGGAGAAAAGGGACGTCGAGAAGTGCTTGAGATGGCAGCTGAAGAATATTTTAATAGATGTGTGAAATTAGATGCTGATAGAAGGTACGTTGTAAGTCTGCCGTGGATACAAGGCCATCCTCCTTTGCCCACTTGCAAAAATGTTGCAGAACGAAGGCTAAAGGGCTGCATTAATTCACTGAAGAGGAGTGGAAACTTAGAAGCATACGAAGAAGTATTTAAAGAATGGCTTCAAGAAGACGTTAACTCCAGTTACGAAGAAAGGGAACACTATTTCCCTTACAGGGCTGTAATGAAGGAAAATTCCACTACAAGACTGAGACCTGTTTTCGATGGATCGGCCAGAGAAAAGAACTCACCTTCTATCAACGACTGCCTGGAAAAGGGCCCATATACCGTCGAACTTATTCCAACCATCATGAATCGATTTAAATTAAAGAAAATAGGCGTTGTTGCAGACATTCGTAGAGCCATCCTACAAATCGGACTAGCGAGAGTGGTCGGCCATATCTAAAGTTTTTATGGTGGGAGGTTGGTGATTCTGCCAAACCTAAAGTTTTCCAGCATAGACGGGTTGTGTTCGAACTTTCTTGTTCCCCGTATCTTTTGGGAGCACCCATCCCATTTCATTTACAGAATGCTTCTCACCGTTTTGAAAAAAAAAAAGGCCAACAAGCTGTTGGAATCATTTTACGTGGATAACTGTGTTACCAGTGTGGTAAATTGCGAATAACTTGAGAAATTTATTGAGGAATGCAAACTGGTTCTTAGCACTGACAAATTCGAACTTCGAGGGTGGGAGCACAGTTATAATAATCAAGAATGTGAAGAACCTTTGCCGAAAAATGAAAAGAATATTCTAGTTTAATGCTTACGTGGAACTTAAAAAATGACGCTTTGACAATAGATTTACGATAAAATGTTGAAGACGATACAACTGTGACCAAGAGAAAAATTCTGTCAGCCGTTCATAAAATCTTTGATTCCTTTGACGTCAACTGTCCTGTTACTTTGAGACCAAAAGTCATCCTACAAGAGTGTTGGAAATTGAAAGTGTATATCATAGGATACTGAACTTCCTATCAACATTGCAAAGAAGTTTGAGAAGTGCAGACAGAAACTTTCTAAGCTGAAAGAAATAGAAATTCTTCGATGTCTTATCCCCACTTGTAAAGTACCAAGAAGTCTAACATTACCTGTATTCTGTGACAAAGATTCTAATTTTTCAGGAGCTGAGAATTCGCTGAAGAAAATTTCTTGGGACATCATTTTCCAATACAGATCAAAAAGATCTCAAAAGATCATTTGGAAATTTAATCCCTCGTCTGCCCTATGGTAGAGTGGGTGGTGGGAACGTTTGATAGGTATAATGAAAGGAATTCTATGAAAGGTTCTAGGTAGAAGTTCACTAAATCTAGAAGAATGAACATCATTATTTGTGACACTGAAGGTGTGATTAATCAGCGACCTTTAACCTATATTTCAGAAAATGTTGTTGATTTAACTCCACTTACCCCTTCTATGTTTTTGCAGGATCTTAAAGAAGCAGGAATCCCAGATCTTGATGTTCTGGATTCGTCGCCTTTAAATAAAAGACATGTTTACCGTCAACGTGTGAAACAAGATTTACGAAAACGATTTTGTACTGAATATTTAGGCAATTTACGCCAATCATCGAAATCTCCTAAAAATCAGAAATTCATCCAAATTGGTGATATTGTTCTGGTTTCTAGTGACAACGTCAAGAAAACTGAATGGTCTCTGGCCGGGGTAGTCAAACTCTATCCTTCTAAAGATGGACAAGTTCGCCTAGTAAAAATAAAAATGAAAACTGAAAATTTCTCCTCCTTGTGCTTAGGTTAATACCTTTTGAAGTGACTGATAAATGTGACCCTGTTATACCTGTAACAGAACAGGATTCTATTCCCAATGAACCGAAGACTTAAAATCGTCTTTCAGAGACCGTTTCTGACAAGAACTCCAGCTCAAAAGATAACTCCATCTAAGCAAAGAACTATTAAAGACTTTTTTCCAGAGACTGTTTCTGAAAAACGATCCAGGTATGGACGATGAATTAAACCTAGAATTAGGGTTTGAGATTGCCTGGTTCGAATCTCAAAGGTGGGAGTACGTTGGAATACTTGATACTTTTTTCCGCCCTGTGAGGATTCAACTGATTACGCACGTTTTTGCCGCGCGCTCGACGATTTCTGATATAAACTATGTTCTATTTTTCAGCTTAGTTTGTTTCTGAATGTTTTAGAAAATGGTTGTGTAGTTTTTGATCTCTTGTAATAACCTCTTTGTTATAACTTGTGCACATATTAAAGTTTTAAAAAGCTGATCCTTTATGTATTTTTGGATATACCTGAATGAAGAACCCGATGATTCAGGTAAGTGCTGTTTTACTTACCTACTGTTGGAATGCTTTCCGCATTAATTAATATTGTCTATTGATAGGGGACACAATAACGACATCAGAAATGTATTTTAAAGACTGGCATATCGCTGCAAGTGGATTTCCAAAGCTTCACTTGTCACAACCTGGCTGTATAGAATGCTGTGTCAAACTTGTTACCGAAGTATCTAAAACGAATTACGAACAAAAATTACGAAATATTGCTATTTTTACAAAAAAAAAAAAAAAAAAAAAAAAAAAAAAAAAAAAAAAAAAAAAAAAAAAACCTGTGAAAATGCATGCATTTCTCTTGAATCATAGGAGAAATTTCAGATGTAGCCCTTAGAATGAGTACTGAAGCCGGATATAAGCTAAAGGAAAATCAGTGGAAATAATAGTTGCGCGCTGATGTGAGGTGGGACATTGAAAGATAACGGAAGAAGACGATGCAAATGGATGGCAAAACACTGAGGATTGAAGAGCATCCTAAGAGGAAGTGTACAGAAGAGAGGACATTCAACAGGCCAAAGCAGTCAGTAAAGCTTCAAAATTAAGGGCAACCCCAGAAACAAGCATTTCATAGATACGGCTGTAAAGATATTAGGTTATTTCGAAGCAAGAGACTTAAAAATTAACAATGCCCTCCCCTGGACCTTTCAAATACGCCCGAGCGTGCTTACCATTACACGACGAAGGCATGGTAAGAAGGCGAGAGAAATACCTTATATATGCCCCTTTTAAAGGGCGCCTGGGGATTAGGGGACCCGATCAAAAAATCCTCCTGGTGGAGAATCTTCATCCACTGCACTTTTAGTTCGTGCACCACTGTAGAGACGTTAGGTTACCTCAAAGCAAGAGACATGGAAAATGCACAGTGCTCTCGCCGGGACTCGAACCTCGAACCTCTTGAATACGCGCCAAGCGTGCTGACCATTACACCACGAAGGCATGCTAAGAAGACGGGAGAAATACCTTATACAGCCCCTTTTAAAGGGCAACTGGGGATTTGGGGACGCAATCACCAAATCCTGGTGATGCAGAATCATCATCCAAAACCTTTTTTTTAGTTCGGGAGCCAATGTAGAAATATTAGGGTCTTCCGAAGCAGGAGACTTGAAAAATGAGAGATGCTCTCCACGGGACTCGAACCTTGGGCCTCTGGAATACGCGCCGAGTATGAGCACCATTACACCATGAAGGCATGTAAAAATGCGGGAGAAATACCATATACTGCGACCATCCGAGGAAGAGACCAAGAATGCCTAGAAATGAGTGCTTTGGAAATCTAACAGATTCCGCGACCATGTAGATCAAGAAAAGGAAGTCAGGACGAAAGAAATCAGTTCCCTAGGAAAATGACCTGACCACCGGAGGTCACATAAGGGCAGCATATATCCAGCAGAATAAGATAACACATGATAAGCGAATATGAGCACTGGATGCGGAATCCAACCACCGCCCAAGATGGAGAACACATGCAAGCAGTGTACTGACTCACATGGAAAGATTTCCTGAAAAGAGACTGAGGGAATTTAAGAACAGGATTAGAGTAGTGGCTAAGTAAAAGACAGGAGCAAATTTTAATAATTCAATAATTTAATGAATTTTAATACGTAATTTAAATGAAAGGCAATACAATTAGTTTATGCGTTTATACGTTGTCTATGTTAATTCAGAAACAGAGCGAATGCAATGGTACCTAATGAATTTTAAATAGCTTGAAAATTGTATTGTATTGTTTGTGTTTTGTTTATTTAATTACGGCAAAGCCTCGAGGGCTATCTGCCTAAAGGGAGGAATGCCTTCGTGGAGTACTTTCTATTATTACACGTTACACATGGAGAAAACCTCGTAAACGCCCTTGCAGCCAATCCGTTAGTGGGATTCGAACCTCTAAACGAACTACCTGTGTTTAGCGACTTTACCGCTCGGTTGCAGGTTGGCCATACTGTGTGTGTATAGTATATGTTGAGAACTGAATGCTTTTGTAAAGCAAAATGAGTTATAGTTATTGTAGTAAAAATTAGTTCAATGCAAGTGAAAAAGTATTAAAAAGTTAAAGGTAGGCTCTCTAATGTATTTAATTTTAAACTTATAAGGTATTTCTCCCACTTCCCTAGAGTGCCTTCGTGGTGTAACGGTAGCACGCTGGGCCGGTATTCCAGAGGTTTGTGGTTCGATTCCCGGCGAAGGCGGTTGCTAATTTTTCATCTCCCCGGCTTTTCCAATTAACCTAAAGTCTCTACAAACTGAGTAGAAAACATTAGCTAAGATGATAAAAGTGGATGTCGTTGAGATCTGATCCTAATACACTAACTCTGAAGGAATTCATATAAGAGGCAGAAATTGTTTTGAAACAGCTTAAGTCAAACGGTTGCTCACCCGCCACAAAATTAGAATGCAATGAAGAGAATTAAGGGGGGCATAATGTGGTAGGTTTTTAAATCAAGCGTTTACATGTTATTGATACGATCAAAAGTAACATGTTCTAAACTAGGGATATCCAGCCCTCGGCGGAATTCGCGAAATTTGTGATATGGGCGCAAAAAGCTGTGAGTGCATTTGTACGAACTTATGTCTGCAAATCTATTAAGTTTCCGAAGCTTCTGCAGTTTTTAACCTCTTCTATGCACTTAAATCCTAGGAAATTTGTAATCAATTTTCGCACTATCCAGAAATGTAGGTGGAGCTCCAAGAAATAAGTTCACACCGTTACCAGAGTTTGCAGCTCGTCATTCAAGATCATAAATTACTGGTTTCCGCGTCCGCAGGGTGTGCGAGCATGTCAGCTTTGTTTGAAATCCTTGTTATAATATAAATTACAGTGAAACGAACCTTTTTACAGAATGTTGAAATTTTGTATATAGGACTGCTATAACATGTAGGTGTGCACCTCGTATTTTGGTTGCAATCGGCCGCACCAAACGTACATAAATATATTTATAGATATATTCACTCTGTTACCCGTCTCAGTGATCTCAGTTTATTTACTCTTATATGTTTGTAAATTGTACATTTTTTGCTTTAATAATGATTGAATTATGTTGTTCTCATCTTACAATTCAAGGTTTATCATCGATCTGGAACAGCAGAACTCCGTAAGTGACCATTATTCC